CCTGAAAGGAGGGTGTAGAGAGGTGGGGGTCGGTCTCTTCTCTCAAGTCACAGGCGACAGGACAAGAGGAAATGGCCTCAAGTTGCGCCAGGGGAGGTTCAGGCTGGATATTAGGAAAAATTTTTTCACTGAAAGGGTTCTCAGGCATTGGAATGGGCTGCCCAGGGAGGTGGTTGAGGCCCCATCCCTGGAGGTGTTCAAAAGACGGGTTGATGTAGTGCTGGGAGGTATGGTTTAGTGATGATGTTCCTTGTTTGTTGTGTGGGTGTCTATTTTTGTCAGTTAGGTTGATGGTTGGACAAGATGATCTTTAAGGTCCCTTCCAACCTAGAAGATTCTGTGATTCTGTGATTGCATTGTCTCATTTTAAGTTCTAAAAATCGTTAATTTTGATCTCAGCTGCACCCCTGGAGTTTAAGGCTTCTGAGAGCTGAGCTGGCTTGTGGTTTAAGGGGACTGTTGCAGGAGGAAGAGCTACAGCCTTGCAGTCTCTTGGATGAAACGGGATCATGTCGAAATCAAATGTGAAGCCTCCAGGCTTTCCTGCAAACATTTTGAAGTCTTAAAAGCAATCAGAAGGGGGAAAATATGTCACTGTTTGCTACAGCCTGCTCCTAATCAGGGCGCTGAAATCTCCTCTGCGCAGAAGTGCTTTAGCAAAGGAAAGCAGGGCTGCAGAACAGCCTTTATGTAACAGCAATGTTTTTTTTTTTTTTTCCCTTCTATGCCAAGAGCTGTGCCAGCTCCCTGCTTCTCGATAATTGCCGTACGACCCATTAGAGGAGTATTTAACTTGACGCGTCGCTGGAGCGGCAGCTCAGCTCCCGGTGCTGCCACTGCCGGGCAAAAGGCACTGCAGGCAGGGCTGGTGCCAGTCTGAGCATGGAAAGGCCAAATCAGGGAAATTTGGGGAAAAAAAAAAAAAAAAAAGCAGTCTACAAAGCTAGGAAATTGAGCTGGGGGTCCCAGTGCTACCAGCATGCATTTGGTGGTGCTGGTAGAGGTCCTTGCGGGACATCATGCGTCCCATCTCAGGATGGCTCTCCTGGCTCAGCCACCAGAGACATCCCTGAGTTTTCCAGGGAAGAGATGGCTGTAGAGACATCCCCAACCTTTCAGGAATGAGATGGCTCCAGATGCATCCATACCACAAATAGGATTAAATCTGGAGGGCGACGGAGCAGGTGGAAGGACTTGATGCCTACGTGAGCAACGCTGGGGGACTTCAGGGTCTTTTTAGCAGCTTAAATAAAGGTACTGCCAAAGCATGGGATAAAACCACCAAGCCTTGGTCCACAGTGAAGCTGAGGGCAAGGAACGGCACGGCCTCACCTCTGAGTCCTTGTCCAGCTGGTTCCTGACCACGATCATGTTGTACAGCACCCGGTCGTCATCTGCCTCCGTGTGGGTCACGTCATGCGGGGTGCTCCACAGGTTCTGCTCCTCGTCCCGTGCCAGCGTGGCTCCGAAGGAGGCGTAGGGGTTGTTGTTGCTGCAGAGAAGGGGAGAGTGGAGGCACCATGAGCTACTGCAGCATCACGCCGCCTCCTTTTACCTTCCCAGGGCAAAGTGTCCATTGCTGTGGCATCTCCTCTCGCAGCCCCACGTCCCACCTTGGGGAGGGAAAGAAGAGGAGGAGCGAGGAACGAGAAGACAGACTTTTTTACCTTAGTTAACATCCTGACCACACAAGCCACAGTTCAAACTAGGCAGTGCTGCCATGAAAGACATCAGAAACACGAATTTGATGAAGACACCAGATATTATTTGAGCAGCTAGGACGGAGGAACCGTGGGCATCCATCTGCGAGGAGGAAAGGTGGCATCTCCCCATTGCTCCCCTGCCTCGCTCCCCATCACACCTTCCCACCACGAGCCACCCCCCCTCAGCCTCTCTGAGCTTAATGTGGGAACAGTTCTAATTAACTAAGACTCAGAAATCCCAGTGGCTCCAGAGTGTGTTTTCTTTCTGCCCAGCTAAACCTGCAGCTGTGCCAAGATCCCAGGAGGCACCATCTGTCCCCAGGGGGACTTTGTGTTCAGAGGAAGATGCCTTGAGCAGCGAGCAAGGGGACAGCCACGTGCAAAGCCTCTCCCTTGCCTCTTGGCCAAAGAAGCAGCTTCTACCCATCTTCTCCTCAGGAGCGGTGCCGTTGGGCATGGTTTTATTTTGGACAAAACACACCCCACCTCTGCTGAGGGAGCTGGGGCTGGTTAACCTGGGGAAGAGATGGCTCAGGGGGATCTCACCCACCTGTGGATGTACCTGATGGGAGGGAGTGAAGGAGGCAGAGCCCCATGGTGCCCCATGACAGGCCAAATGTTGAAATATAGGAAATTCACTTTAATCATAAGAAAAAAATGTCCTGTTGCGAGGGTGGGTGAACACTGGCCCAGGTTGCCCAGAGAGGTTGTGGAGTCTCCTTCCTTGGAGACACTCAAGAGACATGGTCCAGGGCAACCTGCTTGAGATGACCCTGCTCGAGCAGGGGTTGGACTGGACCCTCTCCAGAGGTCCCACCTCCACAACCATGTTTCTCTTTTCTCCCCAGCAGCCTGAACCCTACCCAATCAAGCAGATGATCCCCGTAGGGAGGGGAAAACCCACCCTGGCAGCTCCCTCCTGAGAGACACAGCGATGCACTGAGCCACGCAAGGACCCGTGCCAGGACACAGAAAGGATGTGTAGCCCCATCTTTATTTCTGGGACGGAAATGTCCTCAGCCTGCTTGTGAACACCAGCCTTTATTTGCTTAGCGGTCAGCGAAGCAGAGCATCATCTTCTGGGAAGGCTGTCCCCACTGAGGTAAGGAGCTTCTTTTTGCACTGATGGCAGTTCTGTGTTTTATGACTTTATGTTGCTACTGGGCTGTGTATTTTTTTTGGTAGGGTTACTTAATTTTGCCAGGAGAACTCTTAGCAGAGTTATTTCCATAATGTTTCTAATCAAAATGCCCAGACGCTTGAGCAGAACGACACAAATGGAGAAATATTTTCATTTTATTACCCAATTGTCTCAATCAAGTGAGCAATCCCAGCTCACTTCGTGTTAGAACAACCCACTGTTTATTCTATTTGCTACCCAAAACCCCGGTCCTTTGCAAAGAAACCCATCCAGCAAAACCTCAGATGACACTGCAGGCACGTTAGCCGTGATGCCAAGCCATAAAAAAAGATGCCAAGAGGAGCTCCAGCACATAGATAAAATAGAAAAAAAAATCATTCACATCACCATTCCTGCAGGAAGGCTCATTAGAATTTCAACAAACCAAAAACCTGAGCAACAGGTAATGAGGGGAAAGATAATCTCTTACAATCTTTCATTAAAGGCAAGCAAACAAACGTAAGGTGGAGGGTGTGGATGGCATAACTCAGCCATTCCTACGCTGCATTCAGCACGGATTCACTCAAACCACTTTTTAAACACTTTTTAAAATCCCATTTAAAGCAGATGGGATCCCAGCCTGGAAGAGAATCACGGAGGAGCCATCCATGCTATTGGCATGAGTTCAGTCCCATCCCACCTTCCACAGCCTTCTTCCCTCTGGGTGACTTAGGGTACCCTTAACATCTGACTTAACTTTAGAAAGCAGTATTTGGCAATAACACTAACACGCCTTAGCTTTTAGGAGCCTCTCCCTCACAGCTTGGAAGGCACTTCCCAGTTCATCCCTGTTTCCAAACCACGGCAGGGAGCACCCAGCAGCCTGCGAGGGACGCGGGCGCTTCCCAGGAGTCAGCAAATCCATGTGAGCACGGAGAGCTCTGCCAACAGCCAGCGTCCCCAGAGAGGGAGGGAAAAAAAGAGAAAAAGAAGGAAAAAAAAAGAAAGGAGCACATGAACAGCAGCCTGCTTTGCAGCTTACAGGAGTCTCCGCGGGACCTGAAGGGACTCAGACCGTCTCACGCTCAGGGATTTATCTGGGCTCCCAAAATTTGGGGTTTCTTTTCCCAGCCCTGCACTTAGTGTTGTGCCTAAATCTGTGCTCCCTCCCCACCTCTCCCACAGCACTGCCTGCTCTCACCGCCCTCGTCACGGGTTACAGCCAGCTTTGTATACACCCAGGTAATATATGCACCTAATTATACATATATTACCTCCTCCTCACTGCTTCGTTCTTTGACGCGTCAAGATTTTTGAGGCCACAAAATCCCCTCTGCTTGGGGAAAATAAGGTGAAAAGTCATCAAGTCAACGTTTCGGTCGCAATACCAGCTCCCCAAAAACTACAAGATCTGAAACCTCAAGCCAGTTATTCACTTTAAACAACGCCGTGAGGAAAATAAAAATACAGCAAGCGCGCTCTTGCAAGATCCCCCACTTTGAAATAAAACCCCAAAGCCTCCCAAAGAGGGACAAAGCCAGCGATTAGGCTGTTAGCTTAATTACGCCCGGAGCTCTTGTGCAAGAGCAGGGTGCCTTTCCAATGCATTTACAGGCAGTATTAATTGGATCGTCAGCGCAAGGCGTGTTACTAAAGAAAGGTGCCCGGCGAGGGACAGCCACCCCAGCTGGAAGGAGCCTCTCCTCACGCGTGCTCTCGTTAGGTTAATGCTAATTTCCTGAGCTGGAGGCCCCACGCTCAAGGATTATCTGGTTATTATTGAGGGAACTGCTTCAACAGCACAAAAATCAGGACATTTCGAGTCCTGTTGCCGGCTCTGCTCTTACCCAATACCTCATGTAGGCCATGCTGGGAACATCCCACCCACCCTCCTTCTTGAAATGACCCTGTCCCACCAGTGACACTGGGAGGGCATGGTCCCTTCTTCATCCCAGGGCTGAGACACCCACCGTGGGCTCTGGGGGGAAGGAGGCAGAGGTGCTGCACACCCCACACAGATGTTTTGCAACGTTCAAAACCCGCTTGCAGGGCTCACAGCTCTTTCTCCACCACTCAGGGAATTCACCTTTTTGTGCCCAAATCCCACCCCCACCCGGCTCCACGTGCCAGGCAGATGTGGCTGGTGGCAGGACAGAAAAATTGCTCTCTCTAGGAGATGCTCCTTTCACAGAAAGCCACCTCCAGCAGCGCCACGGCGTGTCCTTTCCACCATCCCCAGGCTGGGAACAGAGCTCTGCACAGCACAAGAGTCGCCCCACAGCGGGGCGACGTGGGGACCCCCTTTTTTTCCCCCCTGGTGGAAACCAAAAGCTGGAGGGTTCCTATGGGGAGGAGCACACGGGAAACACCAAAGAGACGTCACTATGGGTTGGCTCCTTAAAACTCAAGTTGGAAACCCCCCCGTGGGGTGAAGAGGTCGAGTGTGCATCCCGGTGTCCGAATGAAGCCAGTCCCTATGGCCAGGCAAGCCAGGTGGAAAAGGAACCAAAAGCAGCTTCTCACAGCTGGGAAACAATCCCTTTGGAGCCTCCTCTGGGGAAACAACCCCTTTAGAGTCTCATCCAGGGAAACAATCCCTTTGGAGCCTCGTCTGGGGAAACAACCCCTTTGGACCCTCGTTTGAAACAATCCTTTTGCAGCCTTGTCCGGGGAAACAATCCCTTTGGAGTCTCATCCAGGGAAACAACCCCTTTGGAGCTTCATCGGGGGAGACAACCCCTTTGGACCCTCGTCTGGGGAAACAACCCCTTTGGACCCTTGTCTGAAACAATCCCTTTGGACCCTCGTCTGAAACAACCCCTTTGGAGTCTCATCCAGGGAAACAACCCCTTTGGAGTCTCATCTGGGGAAACAACCCCTTTGGACCCTCGTCCGGGGGCACAACCCCTTTGGACCCTCATCCCTCCCGCAGGGGATGGCCAACTCCCCAAGGAAAGCCGTAAAACCACTGCAAACTGTTTTAGGGGAAATCGGGGGCTCAGCTTGACCTGCCGGGGTGGCCAACCTCCGGGGAAAGGGCTTTGGGGTCCAGGGAAAGGGCTTTGGGGTCCAGAGGATGCCGGCTTTGTGGGGGTGAAGAGGGGCTCACGCCTGGCTGTGGACCCAGCCACCCATCTGCGGTGGGAGCATCCCTCCTCCTGCGCAAAG